TTGTCTTTGCCAGCTGAGAAAAAAATTACATCACTTGCACTTACGACGATAAATCAGACTGCATTTATTTACACGCTTTCTTTTTCACGCGCCAAGTATTAGTACTTTCATAAAATAAGTTAACCTTACTCTAGGGCCTGCAGCAAAACATTCTTTCTGGAATAAACGGAAATTATGGCTAGCAGTTCCTTAACATTGGAAATAAGGATGCATTGTTTTTTTAATAGAAAAAAGCATATCTAAAACAAACAGAAAAAAAAATTTCGCTCTTTCCTTGCTGTTTCTTCATATAGAAGGTTCCAAAATAATAAACGGGGATCTGTGAGTTTGGCGGATTTTTTTCGAAAAACCAATAAGCGTGGGGGTAAAGTATATAGACACACTATTTTAATGATATGGTATACTTATGTTCTGTTATCTAGCATACTAAGTTTTAGGATCAAGGTGTGATTGAAGTACGAAGGTTGAATTCCGTTATGTTTGAAATAAACAAGAACTTCTTTCTTGAGTTGACGTAAAGGATTATAAATTACTACAGAGGGTTTGCTAGCAAAAGCCAGCAGGTAAAACGCTTTTGTTTATCTCAGTGCAAAGAATGAGACTTTCTGCCTCAACATGTGACAAACTGAGCAAAACGTACTTACTGAGACTAAACAAGGAAACCATTAAATGAAATTGGCCTTTAAAAGTAAATGAAAGCTTGCACAAACCTGAGCATGTCGAGACTGCTGCAACCTTAATTCAGACAAATGCTTGTTAAGAACACTACTCTCATCAAATGCACCATCCAGTTCCTGAATCCTGTCAACATAAAGGTATATTTTAGGCGAATTGTCAGAAACGACAGCTGAAATCGGCTACGCATAATTTTGTAAATTTTTTCACCAGAGAAAAGAGCAGATTTAATTGACAGAAATATCAATTATTGCATATAGATCCAACTGCAAATTAATAATTAATATGTTTCTTTTTTATAACTAAATCAAAATTAATATTTTTTTTCTACAAACATTGCTCCAAATATCATCTTCAGTTTCTAAATATCTACTGGTATGGTAAATATAAACACAACTCACAAATGGTAAGACTATTACAAAGTGAAAAATGGAAAAAATTGCTTAACAGGTTATATGCTTTGACCTTTCTCCAACTTACCATTCTTTTACTTCACCTATCTCACCAACAGCACTGTAAGAAAAAAGTAAATTTACAATAATAAATCAATGAAATATATCTTTTAATAAGGCACTGACTTTGTATGTTTAGAAAAAATTTCAAGATAGAAACATATAAAGAGAGGTATTTGGTCATTTTCACTCAAATTTTACAAGCTTTGTAAGTTCCTCTTTTGCATTAAGTTAAATCTGTGTTATGAAGATCTGCAGTCAGGACAGGAATTTATACTTGGCCTTTTATGATAATATATTGCTTTAAAAACCTTTTCAGTTCATTTAATCCTGATCGAATTCCATCTAACTGTGATTGAACAGCTGTCTTCAACCTTGAATCTACTGATGCCTGTGAACAAATATTAGAAGGAACCCATCATTAAAAGTAAAAATTGAACAACACACATATAACAAAAGATACTTTATTACTAGCATAATAGAAATCTGAATCAACATAACTTGTGTCATAGTTACTTTTCATCACTCTCTACCTGATTCTATATAGCTATTAAAGGTTCGTCTTTAAATTAATAAACATTCCTGACCTTTGTTCGTAAAACTCTTCTTCTGATTTGCTCTACCTTGTCTAGCTGGTCTGGTCTCTAGAAAACGTAGCAAATCTGGTTATTTAAGCTCCACAAATAACAGAAAAGTAGTTTGTAACAAAAAAGCCAATTTAATAATCTTATTTTCAATAATTCTTTTTTATTTTGACATTGTTTCTTGTTGTATCTTGTTATATACTGAAATATTTCTTTATGAATTTAAAGTGAAAATGTTCAAAATTATTCAACATGAGACTTGTTGGTAATATAAAAAGTGCATGCACACAGGTCATTACATAACAGTTTTGTTTAAAAATGCAAATTCACAGCATCTCACCCAGTTTTGCAACTAAATACATCTACTTTAAGACAGGCAATCTGAGATCATGGACTTTTGAGCATTTTCCCTATACTAGCTACATAAAGTAAGTGATGGTAAGTAGTCAAGTTACAAAATTATTCCAAACCCAAGTGTTATGTTTATTTTTATTGAGAATATTCCAAACCCCTTGCATATTTCAAAGTTAACATTGACTTCCCGACAGACCTGTTCATTTGTTTCTGGAAAATTCTCCAAACCCCTGTTTATTCCAACCCATTCACTGTTATGGGAGATTTCATACAGGGCATGTTTCTCTCTCTATGTGGGTTTTCAGCCAAAAAAAGCCAAGCTTATCCTATCATAACCTGGTTCTTCGTGGGAAAATGCCTGGGATGGAATCTGTAATGCTTTCACAAAGGAGGCTTGCCAGTAGACAAGAGACTATAACCTAAGACTCTGAAAAATTAAAAAATTCAAAAAAGTCATCAAGCCAATTAAGGCATATATTAGCATGTTAGCCTTTGGGATAAATACAAGCAAGATTTAGATATAGCAGACACAGGTTCTATCCTGAAACCATGCCTTAGGATTTCATGGCTAGATAATAAAGACTTTTTCTTCACTCTAAGGATCTGAGGTTCTCTGCCATTTTACCATGCCTTGTACCCGTGAAAATATATTGTTTGGGTGCTGAGTATGGCTTGTACACACCCAAAATATGTTTTCTAAAATGTTCCAGCACACCTGGTAAAGGGTGTAACATTTGAGATCTTGGGGTGGCATTGATGTGTCCTAATGCTAAGGACAATGAAGAATTGGGTTTCCTTAAAATAGACATAGTCCTGCATTGGTTTGATAACAAAATATCTAACAATCATGAACATTTTCTTTTCTTAGTTTATTTTTACTTCTCAATTGATATCCTTGGGCTCTAGAATAGTTTGCACACTAGCACAACTAAAGTGCACACATTTACAGAAACGCACACTTTAAGTTTTGCTCTTGCACACAAAAGATCTCGTTAGAAACTGCCATACTCTACAGCCAAGGTTTTGGTGGATTGAATCGCATCTTCAATGTTCACTGCAAAATTTTGCTATTAAACATACTTCAGCTAGCCTGCAAGCTCTAAGGTAATTTTCTGCTGCAAAAATTTTGGTACCCTTTTATAAACAGACGTAGAAACAATTTTAAAGTTTGGGGGGGGCATATGTATAGGCTAAAAAAGAAAGGGTGGTACCGCTGAACGTTGCAAACATCATTCTTTGAAAGGAAATTCTAGTCCAAAGTTGGACCTGTCGTTTCAATTTTAAGGAGCCAAAATCCTTATTAAAAAGGCACGCTTGATCTTTTATAAAATTTGGTAGAAAGTTTAGCAAATTATACTTCTAGTCCAAAGTTAGTTTAGGTTTCTAAAAAACAAAATTGTAATTTAGGCCCTCTTCTTCAAACCCTTTAAGCACCTACCTACCAAAACCACGAAAGGATTCAATTTCAAAAAAGCTATGAGCTAATGTGAAAAGTTTCATATACCTGGAGCAAATTTGCCACATACTTGGCAGCACAGTTAAGAGCATCTTCCTTGCACTTCTCAATTTCATTACCTTCCGTCATTTTCTCCTCCTGCCTTCGAACTCTCCATATGATTGAATACGAGGCCAGTTGTTTTGATTTCCACAATCTATGATTGATAGGCACTTGAACATTTTTAAGGAAATACTTTTAGGTACAATAGTAGTACAATACAAATATAATAGTAGTACAATAAACGTTAGGTACAATAGTAGTACAATGAAAGTAGGTACAATACAAATACTTTTAATAACAATAACATGTTTGAATACAAATCAGGCACAGCGCAGCCATTGGTCTAGTAGGGGCTATAGCTCCCCCCATTTTTTGCAATAATAGGCTAGATAATTTTTTGAAAAGTTTACCCTAACGCAACTTTGGATAGTTAACTCCTATGTAGTAGCAGTTCTTCTTGACTGTGAATCTTTTTTGTTAATTTTCTTGTTGTTGTTAATTTCCAAGTAAACATTAAAATATCTAAAGGTATTGGAGTTCTGTATAAACTAAGGCATTTTGTGCCAAAAACTACTTTAAGAACACTTTATAACTCGTTCATTCAATCCCATGAAATGTATGGCATATTAAATTGAGGGTGCGCAAACAAATCAACTCTAGAAACCCTAAAATGCAGCTTACGAAAACCTGTTAGAGTAGCTGACTTTGCATCGTACACTGCACATAGTGACCCAATCTTTAAACGTTTGAAACTTTTGAATTTCGATAATCTCTACAAGCTTTAAACAGAAAAATTCATGTTTCAAATAAATAAAGATGCTAGTTCCTCTACTTTAGGAGCGGAATTTCTAATAACAAAAAATCTTCATCATTACAATACTAGACAATCTTCTAGCTTTGGTTTTTCTCTTCCATTGATTTCCACAAATTTTTTAAAAAAACTTCCTTACATTTTATGGTGTTGAATTATGGAATTCTCTGCCTCTAGACTTGAAAAATGCTGCCACTAAGCTATCTTTCAAAAGAAACATGAAAAATTACCTTCTAGAGAACATTTAGTCCTATTTATTCCCATTCTAACACAATTGAACTATTTGTGCACATTGTAAACCATTATTATTTGATTTCTGTTATTCTTTTTTAAATTGTTATTTTTTTATTTTTGATTCTTACTTTTATTATTCAAACAAAACTTATATTAAATTATCGTCAGTTTGCGTCAAACTGGGCACATGGCTCTGATAGCTCCTTCATGAGTTTTTTCCATGTCTCCATCAGCTGATCTTATAAAATATATTATGTTGTTCCTTGTAATGTAATCTTTATGTTTATAAATGTATCTTTAAATTAATTGATTTGTTGCTGAAAATAAAGTATTGATTTGATTTTATTTGATTTGATTTGTTTTACCTTGTTTAATGATATGATGTATTTTCTAACTATGATGTTAGTTTGGTATTTTATAACCCTCAGGCTAATTTTATCTATTTTTATAGTTATTGTAATCTTCTTTGAACTAGATTGGTTACAAAAATTCAGTAGAAATAATCAAGTATTTTCTAAAAGGGGCCTTTCCCGGCGTTCTAGAGGGTGTCCCTGAAACTTTTTCGAGGGCACACCCATTTTAGCCCCTTGACCTTTAGACTGGTGAGCGGTCCCTGATGCAAATAGCTAACAGACCAGTAGAGAATCTTGATAGAGCTATCCAAGCCATGTGTCATGAGTACGTGCTAATCTACATAAAGTTAAAGTTTGATAGATAACGGTAAGATTGAATGAAAGATTTAGCAATTAATTACAAGTTACAATTAACATAAAGATGCTATTTAAAAAATAATTATTAAGATAGAATTCGATTGTTGAAAGCTACATCAAGAGTTATAAAAAGTGCTTACGGACATATACTCTCGGTGACGTATTTGCATCTATTGAAAAATAACGTTTGTAAAAATTTAAAGAATAATACTAAGGGTAAAATGTCCAATTGCTGAGGATAGTGTTACATTTTCAGAAAAAATTAATGAGAATTATATCTAATGTTATCTAGATGTTATCTATCTAGAAAACAAGAACGGGTGGGAGAAGATAAAATACAAAACGAAAAGAAGAATGAAAGAACACAGAAAGTACGATGATGTTATATATATATTTCCGGTCCAAAGAATAATAGCTTATAGTTATCCAATGGCAATTTTTTGAGTTGTTCAACAAAAACGTTTCTAATAGAAGATCTTCAAAAATTTTCTGGGATATTTTCTGGGCAATTTCTTGAGTTGTTCAACAAAAACATTTCTATTAGAAGATCTTCGAAAATTTTTTGGGATATCTTTCCAAATTTTTATCTCTGAAGACGAATTCAGAAAATAGAAAAAGTGATCACAAGACGGCTTGATAAACAATTTGGCAAAAACTTGACTGGCGGGAGAAAGCATTGAAAAAAATGCAGAATAAACAGAATAAGCAAAAGAAAAAGGCCCGAAGCTGGGTTATAGGGTACCCTGGGTACCAGACTCACTATATATAAAATAAAATAGAGATTTATAAAGTACATTATGGCAGAAAACCAAATTTTCGAGCAAATGACAACCATTGTGAGTTCTTGGTGATATAGAGTCACAAGATACCAAGTTCAACTATATAGAATCTTGAACAAAACCAAATTGTGATTGTGGAGTGACATTTAATAGCAAAGTAAGATATAATGTTTTGAAAATTTTGATGTCGTTTTTTTCTCGAGCTCTGCCAATTAGACGGATGAGACTGATGACGATAAAGCAAGGTATAACTAGCAATTGCACAACAGTTTGAGAAGTAAATGTTAAATTATCTTCAATTTAGTTGTCAGTCTGCTTTGTTTGACCACGCAACTGTAAAGTTTCAATTCGAGACTGGTGACATGATTTATTTTTTGTTCTGAATGTTTAATGTTATCTGGTTAAAGAGTTTAAACAGCCTCCTGCTTGGATTTATCAATTTCGTGCTTCGTGTATGTGTGCCTCAAAAACGATCTAGCGACTATGAAGTTTCGTAAAAATTATATTCCCTCTACATCGAATGTCTTTCTATAACTATAATTTCTATATCCCCATAAGTTTGTGTTTAATTTGAGCACCAGCTTGATTATCTTCCTGTGTTTCATCATTCAAACTTTTGTGCGTTTTTTCCTGCAAAAGTTTTCCTTAATTTTTTGTTCATTAACGTAAAATTTTAGAACAGCACAGATCTTTTTAAGAACTGCACAAACAATTTTTAGAACTGCACATTTTGTGTAGAACTGCACGTTAGAAAAAAACCTTGTTACAAGGGAGCTGAAGTCTATTTCAGCATGAAGGAAGTGCGCCGTTTATCACACAAAGAAAACGAAAATTTTTCATGTTTTTATAAGACATATTCCCGATTTTAAACTGGTTCAGGCCTGGCAATCTGGCAATCTTTTGGATGTTCCCTGTGTTTTGTAACCCCGAAAGGGCCCCGAAATAAGATGGTCACTTGCCCACCATGGCCCCTGGCCATTAGACCTTTGTGATAAGCTCCTCGGCTCCAGAGTCTTTTTTAGAGCTTGGCAAGAATCTAGAGCTTCAAGCCAGGCACATTGTTCAATTTCATGTCGCCATAATATTAATTTAAGATCTGCTTTGTATTAGGGTAAGAGGTATAGCATTGTATGGCAAATGAAAAGCACCGATGGAAAAATTCCAAATTTTGTCTGGCAGTTTCTTCTGAATTGTAATATCAGGGTTATCAATCAAGTTACTTGGGTATAATTTTGAGAACAAAAAAATAGAAAAGACCTTTGTCACAGAGAATGTATGACAGGAAACATTTATATTTTGCTATGTAAGTCTATGAAGAATTGGGCGACGACAGAACAGTGTTGTTTTGATAGTTTCAAGCAACAGCAGACGCCACTTCATCAAAACTGATTTATGTCCTATATATTCAGCTGTTAGCCGCTTATTGCAAAGACAAATTTAATAGTAATCAGTAGCGGCGCCATGGGGGAACTGGGGGACAGTTCTCGGCAGGATCAATTTTGAATTTCGTCTATATCCGATGAAAAATGTTGGTGGACGTGTAATATTTTGGCAACGTACTTTTTTCGATGTCATCCTTTGATTTTCGAACTGCCTTTACATAGCCAAAAGTTAGTTTTGGGCGTTTCTTTCAGGTAAAGTTGGCTTTCCTTGTTTGTAAAAGGGCCTTTTCTGGTGCTAAAAGGGCGTGGCCTAAATTTGTTTGTTTTGTTTAATTCCATTATTCATATGAGACATATAGCATAACAAGCAATATTATAAATGGTTTAGCGGTACATTTATACGTTTTTTTAAAAAGATTGGAGCGCCCTTTGAAAAAATATGTTGTTTGAAACAGCCTGGCCTTTGAGTGTTAGTTTTTGTACGAAGAACATCATTGGAAAATAGGCACTTTCATTTTTATCGTCAATATCTCATCAGGGAAAGAATAGCTCTGCGGCACGAGAGTTGGTTTTCAAGAGGGCTTTATTTTAAAATATGCGTGGTTTGCATGAAATTATGAAATAAAGACTAAAGTTTGCAATATTTAGTCCATGAATCTTCTTTTTCTTTCAAATTTTTCGTTATATTAACGTTTCTTAATAAATCATTACATTTATCGTTACATTAGCAAAATTAACATCACCTAACAACAAATAATCAACGACATTATCCGGCAACGACTTGAACTCAGCTGAATTGACAACGATTTGGAGGAACGCCTATTTTCAGCATATATGATGCTCACACACATCCTAATTTAGTATCGTTTAGTGCAGTAATTTTCAGTCCTTACAAATAAATTCAAACAGTCCTTTGTGCCCATAAAGCGACATAAATTAAAATAGACGTGATGGTTTATCACATCAAATTAACTGTTTATAGACTTCTAAAGTCAGGAAGAAATGGGCAGAAAATAGTTGATGTGAAATATCTCTGATAGCTTCTTTCCCAATTTTAATATATGATCAAGGTATGAATCAAATGTGTCAAGCAAGACAGTGGTGTTTAATTGTAGAAATGACGAGAGCAAGGCATTATAAATGCATATCGAAGACATGTTTTATGTTCTTGCAAACTTTCATCAATCAGGGCCTAGAAGCTGAACACATAAACGTTCATATTGTGTTTCTTGAATATGCCGAT